TAGTCGTATTATTTATTTATCCTCGGTACAAGCTTCATACGACCGCAGACTGACGAATCCAACAAAGGAATATTCCAATAAAGCCGTGATATATTCCTCTGCCAGCGCGCGTATATATTTTGGTAGTATTGCGGTAATACTTCTGGAATATTTTGGTATTATTCAACGCAAACTAGAGATAAAATTAAGATAAATTCTCAAAATATTTTAAATCCCACGGATCTTATTCGTAGTAGATGCTACATAGTAGTCGTATTACTTATTTATCCTCTGAACAAGCTAGATACGATATTATAGTATTACTTCGGGAATATTTGGGTATTATTCAACACAAGCGACATTATGCTCTGCAAAATATACATTAGATCACTTAGTATTTCACACAACATCATCTAGGTTCATCAATAAGCTCGTGTATGTGTCTGTGGGCAGCGATGCAGGCAATTCCTGCTGATTTCAAAAAATCACATATGAATATAAGTATATATGTCAATTCGGAATTAGATCACACAGCATAAAACATTTCGAACTTTAAGTTATGTACCTGACTATGCTGATCCGACATTGAAAATTGGAAATTGGCTTGGATTTGATGGTTGAAATGTTTCTTGACTTGAAACAACTTCTTTATCCTTTCCTGTTAAACAATGTGTCATGTTAGTGAGCTGTAATTCAGTGTACATCCAAAACAATAGAAGAATATAATCTAACTAACACTTTGTTTATTTTTCAATCTTACTTTTTGATCGGTTATTCTTCTCCCAAAAGCCTTTTAATCTAGCATTAGAAACGCTATTTGGCCGCATCTTCGTTGGGTCTTTCAAATTGTGTGGTTTATTCGGTGTCTTTTTCTTCTTTGACATTGACATTTCCTGAGGTTTTTTCCCATTCAATATGGCTTCAGATTCGAGTGTTAGTTTCGTTAATGTTTCCAACACGTTTTTTTCAGCAAGTTCATTAGCTTGAGTTAATATGCTGATCCGGTATGCAAATTTATGAACGTGCGTTCGATATATGAGACCACTCGAACAAGTTGCTGAAGTTTGCGAATCTTTCAAATGTTTATAACTATAGTTGTTATATATATCCCTCTTTGCATGAACCGAGCACCGCAGTAAAATATGTTTATCAGGGATCTTTGTTATATTCTCATGGTTAAGCACTCTTAGAGTGTGAGCACATAATATTCCCATCATTTTAAATTTTTTACAACTGCATGTAATTTCAGAATTACCTTTATCGACCTTAACAATCCACGGTCTGACTGTGTGCTCATTATCTAAGTTTCTAACATAAAATTCTGAATTTGATGTGGTTGAGCACTCCACAACAAGACCACACATACCATGTAACAACTCTGCTTGAAACATTGAATATAGCTTCCTCGTATAAACTAAAGCTCCTTGCCTCAACACAGGACTACTTTTTACAGCGGGGACAATTGCAGACCTTTCAGATTTAAAATATTCATCCCTCTCATTCTTTCTCCAAGCTTTCATAACTTTTTCAAGACTCAAGAAACTCTCAGTGAGGGTGCTTGTTGGCTTAGAGGCATTATGACAAATGTTATTCGTGGACTCACTCCTTTGTGTTGAAGGGATCCCCATCCCAAATATTTCCTTATTGAAAGCTGTTGACCACTTATGTCTGATATTGTACAAGCTAATCAACCAAGTATTCTCATATAGATTTCCTAACACAATCATTGTATGCCAAGTTTCTTCAAACTCCTCAGAGTTACACCTAGCCATGCATTTATAAAAAAGCTCATTGGCTTTCTTGGTGCTTACACCACAATGTAGTTTTGAAGATAATTTCTTATAAATATGCCATTAGCATAATCTATGTCTTGTGTGCGGAAGACACTTTTCAATGACTCTGGCCATTGCTTGATCCTGATCAGTAAATATTGTCATCGGGTGCTTGTTGTCCATAATCCGAATAAATGATTTGAATAGCAACTTGAATGATTTAACTGTTTCATCTGACAAAAAGTCAACTCCAAATAGAACGTTCTGCCAATGGTGGTTCACACCAACAATAGGAGCACAACATAAATTGTATTTATTCAATCTATAACTTGTGTCAAATATTATGACATCCCCAAAGCAATCGTAATCAAGTCTGGATATCCCATCACTCCAAAAGAAATTCAATAAACTATCAGACTCATCAATTTGGACGTCCCATGCAAACACCGTATCCTCTGCTTGCCTCTCAGTGAACAATCTAAGTAGAGAATTAGCGTCCCCATTTTCAATTATACTCTCTCTCTCTTTGTTTGAAATTATAAGCATCCCTCTTCGTGCATTCAAGATTTTCAAACACCCCCAAATTCTGTAGCCAGAAAACTAAAGG